AATTTTAGGATTGGTTGATAATTAAGGACCTTCAGATAATCACAGTCCCTTTGTAACCTGGTTATTGTTCGCATGCCTGAATCTAAGGAGGTTATGTCCCCAAAATCCAGTAACCATGAAAACCAACTACTTTGCTTGTGCTTCACAGGAATTACTCCAGATATATGTCAGACAGAATTTAAGACTTTGTCTAGACTTGCACTTTTATTGCTAAAACTTTCATTTCTCAGGGTTGTGAAAAAACACACATGAATGACATGCATTTTAGTGACAAAGAGCCAGTGTGAACAACACTTCGTCAGTGGGAGCTATGCTCTGGGTGATGAAGCTGCCACACCTTTTGGAAGTGGTTTTATTTTGTCACCAGGAAAGCTCTGTCAGTGATAAAGAATGGCCACACAGTTCATCTTACAATGGCATATCTGCAGTGGTATAGCCGCACCATCTTAAAGTGAACAGTGTAGATATAGCTATTGTCCCTTCCTTGTGTTTGTCTCATATGAGGTAAGTCCCTGGTGTTCACACATTCATGACATAATTCTGTTATAACTGCAACACAAATATATAATTTTCCAAAAAAAAAAAATTGCACCTTCCTAGAATCAGATTGTAACAAAAGCCATAACCGGCTCAGAACTGATTTTCTTGCCACAGAATCATGTTCTTTGCGCCTTAGTTGAAAGAAAATATTTATGAATGATGGTGACACACAGTTGACCAGTTCTGATATACAGGAGAGGGCACTCTACAAACTATCAAAGTCACTGCAATAAAATGGTTTAGACACCAGGATTAAATGATTTATGGCAAGCCACATAGTTCAATCCTGTGCCAGAACAGACTTGTAGGAATGTTCCTTAAAGTCTCTGCGTTAGTACTTTGTTTAGTATATTTTATGTGATCTAATGTGCTTAGGATTTCCCTCAGGATTCTAATGCTTTCTCTCTAGCATTGTCCCTATGCATATAATTACAGTAATACTTTTTACACTTTTTATGCAAGCACCTAATTCTTTGGTTGGCACTATGGAGAGATGGAACCACCAGCCTGCTATGGAAGAAGTTATCAGGCTTACTGGAGGCTGGCCTGTTATGAAGCGGTTCTCAATGCTAGTCAGTCCTTAGAAGTTAAAATAGAGAAACACTTTCAGAATATTGCGTAACAACAAAAGCCACATGGGATTAGGATCACTAAAACAGGGCTAGCCTAATTTTATAAAGGATATAAAATTAGGCTAGTTTATAGAAAATTAAAATTACATTCTAATGGACTTTCTCAAAGAATGGGGTTTCTGTCTTTGTGTGTGTGTGTGTGTGTTTAACTGCCTTTATTATCAGCTCAGTAATAAGATACCTAAGTAGATATATTTTTGGTATCCTGAACAGAAAGGGAAAACAGAGTAAAATGTTAGGTAAATGGAACAGTGGGCTCAAAGTTTTATTTAAGATGTTTCTGACATTGTTGTTCACATTCTGTCTTTGGCAGACAGTTTTAAAACAGGCAAGGGTGTTTTCCAGCATGAAATCAGCTCCAGAGGCAGAAGTTGCTCACTGTAGGTCATGGAGACTGGAAAAGAGAAAACTAAAGAAACTGAAAGTTTCCTTTTATTCATATAATGTTTCTATTGTCTCACTAAACTTATGACTGGCAAGGTATCATCTCTTTAAGCTTGTATATATGCTGGTACATAACTTCCCTGAAAATTACAGTCCCTGAAGGTGTTTCACATCTGAATATATTTTCAAGCCCTCTTGGGTATGTCTACACTAGCTCATTAATTCGAGCTAGGTAGGCAAATCAGGCAAGCCCGGATTTAAATATGCTGGGCTTTATTTGCATGTTCCCGTCCGGCCGCCATTTTTAAATCTCCCTTAGTCTGAACTAACTGCCTGCAGCTACACGCGGCAGTTTAAAGTTAATCTGAACAAAGTCTTTAGTTTGGATTAACTGTTACTCCTCATGTAGCCATGTGTAGCTGCGAGCAGTTAGTTTGGACTAAGGGGGATTTTAAAATGGAGCCAGACGGGAACATGCAATTAAAGCCTGGGATATTTAAATCCCGGGCTTCATTTGCAACTCCGGTTGCCTGATTTGCCTACCTAGCTCAAATTAACAACCTAGTGTAGACATACCCTTTTAGTGCTTGAGTAACTCAAATGTGGAGTAGTTTTACAAATTCCAACTTTGAGCAGGTTTGTATTTTGAGTTCCCTGTTCCTCTTTTTCTGAACATTCATCAGAGTCCAACTTTATGTCTTGTAACTATCTGACCTGCCTTTATCTATTGCAGGAGTAGGGAATTCTTATATAGAACATGTGAGAACAATCAGAAATGCTGTTCTTGTGAGTTTAGATTATATTTTCCCTTGGGTCTTTTAAACAGCTCTTCAGATTTGATCTCTATAAACTACTATTACCAACCAATGTTCAGAGCAGATTCCAGTCAATTTTTGTGTTGGAGAGAGAGAGGAATTACAGAACTGTGTTTTCTCTCTGATAGGTAACTGCACTATAGTTCCAAATCTGTAATTGTTGGAGTTCAAAATTCAGGCTGGATTTTGGATATAACAGACAGGGAACAGAGGACTCTAATTCTACATGGACAATTCAATCTTGAAACTCGGGTCTAAAATTTCTTAGATGGAGATAAAAAAGTTTAAGTCTATTTATTGCTACAACATTAATAATCACAGAAGACTACAATACCACAGCTTTACTCAGCTGTGCAGGATAAAGGAGAGTAAATTCTCTCACTTTCTTTACATACAAGTAAGGGCAGCATTAGAAGCAGTGGAGAGAGAATAGGGGCTATTTTTGAGGCCGAGAGAAAGAGAGTGCAAGTCTGCCATTCACTTATCCAGAATAGCTAGCTGGATACCCAGGGAGGGAAGAATGGATTGTTCCTCCTGAAAAAGGATGATTTAATTACTCCCCACAAGACAGGAATTGTGATTCTCTGAGCAGCATCACAGGTACATACCAACCCTTACACAATCTAGCCCATAATAATCTTCAGTGCCAGTGCAGAATATACTGCTTCATGTGGGAACATTCCTTTCCATCTCTAGCTATGTAAGTATATGGCCACCGTCAATGCAGTACCTTAGCACCCCTCAAGTGTTTAAAAATAGAAATAATACCAGTTTCTTTACTGTTTTGTCAGAAAGTTGGTTTTAATGTTTTAACATGCCCTCTCACAAAGCCTCAGATGAAAAGGAGCTGTATTTTATATTTTCCATCTGTCCACCTTCAAAATCTGAAACAAACAAGTTTGCCATTTCTTCCTCTTCACAATGAATTCTAATATTGTTCACGGGCTTCTATTTTATCAGAAATTGTACAAGGCTTGTCTAGTTTCTGGGATAGTGTACAAGTCGTAATGAAAACCAGAAGCAGGTTAAACGAGCTAATAATAAAGACTTCTTGGGATAGAAAAGAGTTGTCAGTCATCTTCAGGTAATTCTCCCTTAAAGGAAAAATGGTTGGTTGTGTTAATTGGCAACCTGATTGAGCTTCAGCAGGGTAACACAAACCTTGAATTATCCCTGATGGTTTGTAAAATCACTGCTAATGAAAATAGAATTCTGCACTAGCTCTACAGTTGGAACTAAAAATACCACCCTGGCCAAAAGTACATGTAACTCTGGCAAACTCTTCCTCTTGGCCTCTTTTGCCACTTTGTCTTTTAGGAAAGCAATTTCAGTTTCAATTTTGCTTAAATAAAATTTTTGGCTGTTATCCAGCTCAGTTGCCTGCTACCTTCAAAATGAATTACTCCTAGCATAGCTTTTGATGCCGACAGACTTATGTTTGCTATGTAAACATTTGTGGAAGCTTTTACTTCAAACAATAGACCTTGAGATGTATAGAATTTTTTCACAGTGGCCTCTAGGCCATTAATATACTGAAAAATGAAAACATATTTAAGAATTAGGCCTTTATCCTGCAAAAACATACAGGCTTAACTCTACTCATGTGCTCAAGGAGCTGAACTGACTTCAACAGGACTGATCACATTCAGTTATCCATGTGCATAAGTGTTTGTAGACTTGGGATTTTGTAGAACCAGATCCTCAACGATATAAATAAGCAAAACCTTAACTTCAGTGAAGGTGCACCTATTTATATCAGCTAAGGTTACGACTCCTAAGGTACGTCTACATTGCAAAAACAACCCTCCACAGCAGGGTGCAGGGCAATAAAATCACAATATAGATGTTTGCAATCAGATCCTCATGGGATCTCAGAACTCAGGAGCCAGCCTGAATTCAGAATCTGAACTACAGTTTTGTGGCTCCACATCCCAAGCTTATGAGCCCAAGTCAGCTGACATAGACCAGCCACAGGTGTTGTACTGAAGTGTAGACATACCCTTTATTAGAAAAAACTTTTCCTGGTTAAAGTCAACAGAACTTGAAAGAAAAGACTTGTTCTCTTTGTTCCTTTACTTTACCCAAACTACTGAAGCAATACTTAGGATTTGTCTTCACCTATAATATCCCTGCTATTACAATCTTGGCTATTTCTTGACAAGAGCCTATTAAAAATGCAAATGGTGTGGCAGATTTGCATGTGGATGAGAGGTGCCTGTGCTCACTTTTACTACCAAGAGTTCAATACTCTTAATATAGCCATTGCTCTATAGAAATTCCAGTATAAAATCCTGTGTGTTGTTTTCATTACACATCATATAGGAAAATGGATTTCACATCCATTTTATATTCTATCAATACATAAGAAGTATTATGAACACTTTTGACACAAATATGTGCAAGACACCATACGGAACTGATTATTTTGAGAATTTATAATCTGACCTGATGCTTGGCATAGTGACTGCAGTTAACAGGAATCTTTCTACTAATTTTAGATCAAGATCTAAGAACTTGTTCATCTTTGGCGTATATATATTTGTATATTATATATCAACTCCAGACTTCATAGTGTCAAAGCAGATGGTTTTAAACTATGTGCCTTCCTGAGCAATAAGTCCTGCAAAAAGCAGAGAAATGACATTTAATAACTGCAAAAATCTTTAGGATCTCAATCCTTTGGGTTTAATTTGAATTCTATGAAAAGCCTACTCGTCAACTCTATTCAAATAAGTCTGTACATGTGAGCTGGATGTAATTCAATAGAAACTTCCAGCTACATAATTTACTTGGCACGTATACATTCCAATGAAAACAGAGGAATGGCCATCAACCCTAATATAATTGTAACTTTTTTGTAGAACTTTTAGTTAAAATACAATTACTTTATTTTGCCTTTCTCATTGACACTAACTTGGGAGAGGAAAACCTAGTAAAAACAAGCATATTTGTACATCCATGGAATTCAATGGAAGTTTTGTCCTTGGTTTCTGTGGGAACTAGGACTGGGTCCAATTATAGTGCTGGTAATGAATGTGTACATATCACTTTGAAAATGTAAAACACTATAGTAGTGGTATTAGGAATTACTACTTCTATCACTTATAATGCCTTTTATTTTTATGTTGTAATACTTCTCACATACACCACTGTGCTTTCTTGTTGCTGCCTGTTTCAAAATAGCTAACAGAACTCATGTGGTGCTGAGGAGAAGAGCATTAAAAAAAATAAAAATATAAACAAACAATACCCTGAAAGTCATTAAGAAAATAATTGGTCTTGAGGAGAAAGTTATTTTTCAGTTTATAAACAGTTTTCTTACAAGGCTTCCCAATTCCAGCATAATAGGGTGCTGTCAGAAGCAAGAAAGAACAGGGTCCAATCACTGTCCTCCAGATAATTTACCATCCCATGTTAATTCCAATGTTAAATGTAGATGCTTTGCATTTTGAAACCATGTGAATCCATTTGCAGCATCATTACAAATGAACATTAATCTTCAACTATTTCCCCTAATGTGACCTTACATCCAATTAAAAAAAATATTTCTATATTTATTAACATTTCAGAGGGGGCCCTTTATAAATTAACATTTTATAATCAAAATCAGAGAGCACAAGAGGGTTGTAAGGCACCCATCAGTGTTTAGCAGCTCTGTGCCATCAGTCTCACACTGAACAGCCACCAAGCCATGTTATGAAGAGACAACAATAGTGCTCATCCTCTCATATCTTATTGCTGAATAAGGTCATCTTTGTAGCCTACCCACCTCTGCAAGTACAGAACTGTAATGGCTCACAATATATTTTCTAGAGTTTCATACAGCCTGGTTTTAAAAGTCTCAAGAGATGCAACTTCCACTACTTTGCCTTGAAGAATTATTACACATGCCAGGACCTCTCACGGTTAGGAAAATTGTACAGGCATTCAGTTTAAATTTGTCATTAGAACATCAAGGCTTCATGATAGTAGGGATTTCTCAACATTCCAAAGCCTCTACAGCATCCATGCTCCCAGAATATGCTACATGATTTCTGCAAAACATTCAAAGCAAAATACAAAATTTCACTTTGTTCAGAATGTAAAACAAATTATTACACTAAGTGAACACCCCTCTCTTATCTCAGTAAGTGTTTCAGAAACTAAAAGATAAAATTTAGGTCATGTGTGAATTCAGCCCATATTTTCTCAAACTTGCAACAGATTAATCACTTCCTTCCTCTTCCTCCCTATCCTTTGGTTCTCACAGCCCTTTTGCCCTATATAACTTAATAATATTAGAAGCATATTCCAGGAGTCCACCTAGGGGAGATTTTCAGTTCTACAAATGGGAATTAAGCGGTCAATTTCCAATGACTTTCAGTAGAAATTTGGCAACCAGCTGCCCTATGTGCATTTGTCCCCCAAGTTGTCCTGTCACTAGAGGGAAATTTTGGCTCTAACTAGCCTAAGTTGATAGCATTATGTGTGGCTCTCACTCCTATATTTTTTGCTGTCAGAAGCAGCACAATACTTCCTGGTATGATTGAGGAATTGTACACACCTAACAGTTAAAAGGTGGGTTGGATAGTCAAAATGAACTGACCTTCTGGATTTTGTTTTGAGGAATGCTGCCAATTCTAGCTTTCATAGTTGGCTCATGTATAATAAATGTTGCCGACAGGCAAAGACAAAGAGGCTGGGCATGAGAGGAGTGATAACATTTTTATGAAACAAATCACATAACCCCAAATGTTCACCAAGATTTTTAATCAGTTTCTTACCTCTATTAGAAACCCTAATCTAATATTATTTTGAGGAAAATTTTGTGTTAAAATACATTGATTATATTTATCACTGACAGGTTTTCATAGATTCAAAGGCTGTTTATCTGTCAGCAGACTCACTAAGTCCTACTTATATTTTTATTACATGTTTTCTAGAGAAACACTGCTGCTACCTGAAAACTAGAGAGATACCTAATAATGACACTTGTAACAGGGTCAGGCCAGGGAGCTGCTGCAGAGAAGGGAAAAAGCAGCCCAAAAGGGAAAAACCCTGTGAGAAGAAGCAGAGAACTGCAGCCCAATTAGATGCAGCTAGGAGGGAGCTGGCTCAGGCAAATTGGGGTCAGCTGACTTCTCTGCTGTCTGTCTGAGGGCCTTTAAAAGCCTCAGCAGTTGGAGGCTGGAGAGGAGAGTGAGAGGATGAAAGGAAGGTGGTGGAGAGACAGAAAGGAAGAAATTGGAGGCTGTGTCTAGACTGGCCAGTTTTTCCAGAAAATCAGTCACTTTTCCGGAAAAACTTGCCAGCTGACTACACTAGCCACTTGAATTTCCACAAAAGCATTGACTTCCTACTGTAAGAAATCAGTGCTTTTTGCAGAAACACTATGCTGCTCCCGTTCAGGCAAAAGTCCCTTTTGCGCAAAAGGGCCAGTGTAGACAGCTCAGATTTGTTTTGCGCAAAAAAGCCCCGATCACAAAAATGGTGATCGGGGCTTTTTTACACAAAAGCGCGTTTAGATTGGCCACAGATGCTTTTCCGCAAAAAGTGCTTTTGCGGAAAAGCGTCCAAGCCAATCTAGACGCTCTTTTCTGCAAATGCTTTTAATGGAAAACTTTTCCATTAAAAGCATTTCCGGAAAATCATGTCAGTCTAGACGTAGCTGGAGAGAATAATTTTGACCAAAGTTAGGTAAAGGCAACTAGGGAGGAACCTGTGGGCCCCTGGCTGGGCTCCCTACCATTGAGACCTGCTGCAAAACCCCCAAACTTGGCGGCTAAGGGGAGGAGGCCTACCCAGTGGTGGCTTGGAGAAGAGGGGCCCTTGCCACACATTTAAAGATTGCATTACTTCTAGTTTATGTGTAAGTTTCCATTCACAATGCAAACTGTAATCTGAATTTCATTACACATAGTCAATTGCATGCTTTATATGATGTGAAGTTGTGGGGCTTGGACTGAGGGTTACAAAAATGCAATGTCATTTGGACCTGGGCTGCAGTCCAACCCCAAGGCTACGTCTACATTGGCCCCTTCTTCGGAAGGGGCATGTATATTTCCAACTTCAGAATAGGGAAATCCGCGGGGGATTTAAATATCCCCCGCGGGATTTAAATAAACATGGCCACCGCTTTTTTTCCGGCTTGGGGAAAAGCCGGAAAAAAGTGTCGAGACTGGCACGATCCTCCGGAATAAAGCCCTTTTCCGGAGGATCTCTTATTCAAAGTAGGAATAAGAGATCCTCCGGAAAAGGGCTTTATTCCGGAGGATCGTGCCAGTCTCGACACTTTTTTCCGGCTTTTCCCCAAGCCGGAAAAAAAGCGGTGGCCATGTTTATTTAAATCCCGCGGGGGATATTTAAATCCCCCGCGGATTTCCCTATTCTGAAGTTGGAAATATACATGCCCCTTCCGAAGAAGGGGCCAATGTAGACGTAGCCTTGGGGTTGGACTGCAGCCCAGGTCCAAATAACTACACTGCAATTTTCAACTTCCAGCCTGAGATTCATGAGCCCTGAGCTGGGAGTGGAGTCCCAGGTGTGGAGCCAGGCCCCACATAAAACTTGGAGATGCTGCAGCATCCCCCACATCCCTAGTTCCCTCACATATGTTCACAAGTAGTCTAGTGCCTTTTTTTTTGTACTGCAAAGTAGAATAAATGCTGATAACAGATTTTAACAATGCTTGCTACCAAACTGGCTCTGAATATGGTTCTCTGTGCGTGTACAATATAGGTTTGTATGCATTTCAGCTAACCATTTTTAGCCCTAGTTCCAATCTGAGTTGAACTGCAGTTAAATTAAAATATTGCTGAACATGACTTGTCCATGTCTGAACTTTCAGATAAGATATACTTAGTTCAGCATCACTTCAACTGTAACTATTGTTATTGCCATTGTCAGCAACGGTTCCATTCTGTAGTAAAGAAAAGGCCTAAGGCCTTGTCTTACTTATGCATTAGTTCAGTGTGTTTCTGATGAGAAAGTGCATGCCCAAAAAGCTTTGCACAAAAGAGCCAGTTTAGACAGCTCAGATTTGTTTTGTGCAAAAAAGCTTCAATCGCCATTTTCATTTTGCCATTTTGCCATTTTGTGCAAAAGCGCATCTAGATTGGCACGGACGCTTTTCTGCAAAAAGTGCTTTTGCGGAAAAGCGTCCATGCCAATCTAGATGCTCTTTTCCGCAAATGCTTTTAATGGAAAACTTTTCCGTTCAAAGCATTTCCGGAAAATCATGCCAGTCTAGACGTAGCCCAAGTGATCCCTCTCCTGTCATCCATTTCCATCCTCTGAAAGAAACAACAACTAGGGACATCATTCCTACTCATCCTGTCTAATACGTATTGATGGACCTAACCTCCATCAATTTATCTAGTTATTTTTTTAACCCTGTTAAAGTCCTGGCCTTCACAACATCCTCTGGCAAGGAGTTCCACAGGTTGACTGTGTGCTGTGTGAAGAAAACTTCCCTTTGTTTTAAACCTGCTGCCTATTCATTTCAGTTGGTGATCCCTAGTCCTTTTCTTCTGATAGAATTACAATGATTTCTAACATATTTTCAATGTGAATTAATGTGCTGGAATGAGTAGAGCATTCCCAATGATACCAATCCAAAATTGTCATGAGTCTGAATGTTACCAAAAAGTAAGATTGCCTAGATCTCTGCTTTAAATAGCAGAAATCATTTTTGGTTAGCACACAATAAAATGAGAGAATAAGGTTGTTTGGATAGGCATCTTTCCAGGCGTGATTATTGAGTCATAACATTTTTCAGGGCATATATCTGTTATGTTGCCTCATACTGTTGTTTTTATCATTGGTCATGCATTTTCTCTATTATCCTCCAGTTGCATATTTGACTATAATAAGTAGCTACGAAGTGTGCTGTATAAGAGCTGGTGAAGTGCAATTACTCTTTTGAACATAACTTCTCAGTCTTCATCATTTATTTTCCAAAATGCCCATTTCTGACACAGTGGCACTAAATCTATTTCTCAACCAACGCACACAAGTTAATCAAATTCTGGAACCCATCTGCTGTTGATAGCAAATGACAGGCAGCCTACCCCCCAGATAAGCCGTCGTATATTCAAAGTATTGAAGAAGAAGAAAAAAAGGTAAAAAGTTATGAGCGCAAAGTGCAAGAGAATGAGAACTCATGCCTCCATTTGTCACTTACATTGTGCTCAGAAAACTTGGCAATAACCTGGCTTCCTGCTTCCTTGGGAGGTGGGGGAAGGAGAAAGCAAAAGGATGTTTCCATCCCCTTCTCTTATTCTGAAGCAGGTGACATATCCTTCCTCACACTGTGGATAGAATTTTCACAGGGTGCAAGTAACATTCTGATCAAATGTGAGGTCATCTAAGGACAAAACCACATTATATGGAGCAACCTTAGTGCACTCAACAACCAGTGGTGCTAAATGAGTTATGGTTAGAAAAGTAGAAAGATTTATGGTTTATTTCTTTCCAGCCATAATGTGAAATGGATGTAGATGCATGTTCCAAATAGCACATACTTTTCTCCTTTATATCTACAATTATTTTACTGCTGTATATTCAGACTAACTTCCAGTGACACAGAACAGTTGAGCTACAAGGCACACTCTGGCTTTATTTACCCAACTGGGAGTTACTCGATTTAATTGTAATTAGTCTGGATTTACACCAGTGCAACAAAGCAGTATCTTGCTTCCTTTTGTTAATTTGCCAATCGGTCTGACTAACCTGAAAATGATTTCCTGTACTAGTTTTCATACAGGTCTGTTTTAATGTCACCCCAGGACAAGGGCCAGGAGGATCACTATGCCAGGGAGGAATCACCTGATGAGGACAAACCTCCTATTTGGTCTTCTGTAGTTTTTCTCTTTTCATCCCTCTGTAAATAAATATTTCCCTTTCCCATATTCATTGTATTATTCTGATATGTTTGCGTTGACTCCAGGGCATATGGAGCGGTGGAAGAGAATTTCCAACCTCTAGGGTGGAAGAGAGCTTCCCTGCCTCATTCCTGAGAAAAGGCTAGAGCTGCTGCAGAGCTGAATCTATAAGGATGCTGGGGCTACACATACATACACCGAAACTGTTGGAGAATGGCCCCCGCATACTGCTACTTTCCTTCAGTCTTGTAACAGCACAGAATTTCATTAGGGTCAGGATCTTGCCATTTTTCCTAGGATTTGTTTAACTTTCTTTTCAGAGCAGTTCTGCAATGATAACCTCAGTGAAAAAATAGTGTTTTCTCCCCTCCAACTTCAAATGGCTTAGAGTCAGCACTAGTGAATGTGGTCAATGAGGTACTAAAAGGCACTTTCATTGTACATAATATTAAAACCTCAGGGACCAGAGGAAATGAAAGGCAGCTGCCGCTGGTGGTGATACAGATCTGTAGGTCCCTGATGACCAGCTGGTTAGAAGTACAGACTGTGCTTAGAGGCAGTGTGTGTGCTGCCAGACCATCTCTGTCATGTCCCCAAGAGACACCACTAAGCTAAAACAGTAAGGGGTATCCATCATAAAGAAGCAGGGAAGGATGCCATGGCATGCCTTCTATAATGGTAGAGAAATAGGGAAGAGAAGCTTCAAATTTCACAAAGGCAGGCGCTGTGTCAGTGGAGATTTAATCAGATGGCAAGCTTTCTTGATTATATATTCCAATGTCAGCTCTGAGGTGCAGACAAGCCAATATTCCAGTCTCTCCCTGAGGTTAGACTGGAGTCACGAAAAACATAAAATATGAATACAGAAAGCTGTAATCCTTATTTGCCAGATCAGAAACGTTTAAGATCACATACTATGCTTGAGTTGCCTTTGTATGGAATGTGATGCCATCTATGCCTTGTGTAGATTCAAGTCCCTTATTTTTGTATTTCTTTTTGACACAGAAAATGTTAGAATTCAGCAAAGTGTGATGATCCCCGTGATTGTTTATAATAATCAGGCAAATAAAAATAACAAGGTTGAACCCTGACATAATATAATTGTAATATAATGAATTAGTGAAGCATACCCTCTTTTGGAAACTTACTATTAAATGAAATGGTGGTGGGGGGGGTGAAATAAACTAACTCCTCTGGTTTGTGAAACAACTACAGGTTGAACTTCTCAAGTCCGGGACTCTGGTCTGGCAACATCCATGGTCCAGCAAGACCATTGATGTCCCTGGATCAGAGCCCTGAAGGCCAGGCAGGAGTGAGCCGGGTGTCTTATCTTATTTGTACCAGTGTGAGATCAAAATCAGGGCTAAAGTGTGATGATGTCATTACCGAGGCAAAAGCAACTTCAGTATTTCTCTTTTCTTCTATCCTCTAGCCCCCCTTTACCCACACAAAAGCAATATAATGGGGAATCAGAGTCATGGCATTTCTCTAAATGGCATGGCATTTTTGTTTACATTTGTGAGTCATGTCTATGAGATAACTGGAGCTAATTTAATCCTTATCTGTGAGATTCCACATGTAGCAGTCCAGTCATTATAAGAGTGTGGGAATCACTATTTGAACCATCACATAATATATGCAAATTTCACGGACTCAGACAAATACAAAGCACAAAAACATGCAAACAAAGACTATGTATTGAACTGTCAGGAATAACTAAGGAGAAGCATGGAGAAAAATTGCAAACTTCAATCTCAATACTGCAAGTGATAAGAGCCTCAATGGAGCCGCATTGACTATCAGTTGCAAAATCAGAGCCTGTATCTATAGCAACATATAGACCTAGCACTTACAGGTTCTCTTGTTTATAAATTGTGTATACACCACTAGAAATAACACTTTTTAAAAACAAATTATGCTTAACATCCTTCATAAATCTTGAAAAACAGTCATACCACACACTAACTGCAATGGCAGCATGGAAAGCAAAAGCATGGAAAGGCTGAGAAGCCTGAAATGAGGGAGAGGTGCTCTTGTTTGGATGGCTCCTATGAATTCTAGTCTCTAAGGGTATGTCTACAATGCACAGCTACCTAGTATCTACACAAGCCGCCCGTTATTTTGAAATATTTTTTGAAATAACGGACATGTTCGTTTGCCATCCTGGTAAACCTCATTACACGAGGGATAAGGGATAGCTTGAAATAGTACATTATTTTGAAATTTGCCACTGTATAGACATGCCAAATACCAAAATAAGCTATTTTGAAATAGATTTGAGATAAGACACACAATTTGCCTAGTTCCAATTGCATATCTTATGTCGAGTTTAGGGTGCTGTGTAGACACACCCTAAAAGATGAGAGAAACTATTAGCAATTCTATAGAAAGAAACAATCTGCTAACAGACAGTCAAAACTCCATCTCTAGCCAGGACCAGTTGAGAAGGAACTGAGGAGAGTTCTCCTGTGTAATGCTACTTAGCTTTGTTGTAGTAGACCATGACCGGGGGTGGAGGAGTAGTGTATGCGCAGGATAAAATTCTCTGATCAACAGCACAGCGACACTACTCAAATAAGAAGTTTAATACATTGGTGGTTCAGCTGTGGCTTTTAGCTGCAACCCTGAGTAGGGAGCAGTGTGGCCCCAAACTACTTCAGGGGAGCACTGTCAGAGATTAGGGTTACAGAAGACACAATCTCTCAAAATATAGGAGGGCTGCGTCTAGACTGGCAAGTTTTTCCGCAAAAGCAGCTGCTTTTGCAGAAAAACTTGCCAGCTGTCTACACTGACCAGCTGTCTACACTGACCGCTTAAATTTCCGCAAGAACACTGATGATCTCACGTAAGAAATCAGTGCTTCTTCTGGAAATACTATGCTGTTCCCGTTCGGGCAAAAGTCCTTTTGCGCAGCTCAGATTTGTTTTGCGCAAAAAAGCCCTGATCGCGAAAATGGCGATCGGGGCTTTTTTGCACAAAAGTGCGTCTAGATTAGCCATGGATGCTTTTGTGCAAAAGTACTTTTGCGGAAAAGCGTCCGTGCCAATCTAGATGCTCTTTTCCGTAAATGCTTTTAACGGAGAACTTTTCCGTTAAAAGATTTGCGGAAAATCATGCCAGTCTAGACATAGCCAAGGAGTTGCGCCCTGTGTGCTTGCCTGTTAGATGATGCAGACCACCCCTCATCACTCTTGTCCAACTTTGCAGGGGGTTTAGGGGGTTGTTTAGGCCTTACTTCATCCCCACGCCTTTTTAGATGCTTAGTCCTCTCTGGAAATACAAGAGCAGGGCACAGGGGCTGAAATCGTGAACTTGCTCCTGCAAAGGGTACATCTACAAAGTTAATTCGAACTAACAGCCATTACTTCAAATTAACTTTAATAGCAGCTTTTTAATTCAAAATAGCGGAGCGCTTAATTCGAACTAGGTAAACCTCATTTTACGAGGAGTAATGCCTAGTTTGAATTAAGTAGTTCTGATTAAGGGCTGTGTAGCCACTTAATTCAAACTAGCTGGAGGCTAGCCCTTCCCAGGTTCCCCCTGGTGGACACTCTGGGCCAAACCAGGAAAACTCCTCTCCTCTCCCCCAGCCCCGGGGCCCTTAAAGGGGTAGACTCTGGTCAGACCGCACTTGCTAGAGCCAGCCCTGCCAGCAGTTTCTGCCCCTGGCCCAGTGGCCCCAGGATAAGCCAGGCAGCCAGTGACAGCGAGCCGTCCCTAGTCCAGTCCCCCAGCACCCAGGGGCCATAGATGGCATGCGCCCTCCTGGATTAGTGTGGAGGTCATGGACCTCATTGAGGTTTGGGGGGAGGCCCCCAACGTCTATGATATCTGCACTAGGAGGAGGAACACTGCCGTCTACGGCCGGATAGCAGCCACCATGGCCTGAAAGGGACAAAGAACTGTGGCAGGTGTATGCCAGGGCCACCAGGGGTGGCGCTGCAGCAGGGGCTGCCACCTGCTTCTACTTCCCTGCCCTTGGCCAACTCCTGGGGGGGTGGAGCGGTCCATGCCAGCTCGGGAGGCAGCGAGCCAGGACCGGAGGGCCCTGACCCGGGCGCACCGGAGGGGCCGCCACCAGCTGTTCCGGCACCAGAGTCAGCAGGGTCATCCACGGAAGCCATACCGGGTAAGTGCCAGCACTATACCTTGCCCGGGGGGGAGGCAGGGAGGGAGACCAGGGACCGCACACATGAGCCACACTGAACACAACACAGGGGCATGGGTGCAGTCTTGGGACAGCTCCCAGTCCCGGGGAGAGACAGACATCCTGTCCATGGCCTCAGTGCAAGCACAGCGGCTCTGACGATGCAGGGCACGGTTGCCCTCATGTTGCGGGGGGGGGGGAGGGGGGACTGGGCATCATCCACTGTGTCCCCAGGAAGAACTGACCACTTCTCTTCTTTCTCTACAGCTACACCAGCTGCTCGTGCAGGGC